AGGAGCCCCCGGGGCCTGCCCCGGCTTCAGGCCAGCACGTTTTCCATGACATAAGCTAACCATTTTCAAACTTCATGCTCTTCTTCTCCATCCAGCCGTGGAGAGGCTCTCAGGAAAGGGACCCGGGGAGCAGCCCCCATCCATGCAGTTCCCACCGCGTGAGTGCGCTGTAAGCCAGGCCAGAATGTGGGGGTGCCGGGTGGGTTCAGAACAGGCTCCCACCAGCAGGGAGGCCGTGGGCAAGTTTCCCCACCCACCTGGGCTCTGTTTTCCCATCTGTAAGATGGAGACGGTAGCAGGACCCATGGCCATAAGGGGTACAAGCAATCATGTGCTCAGTGTCCAAGAAGTATCAGCGGCAATGGCTCTTGTACCCCCAAAAATATTTTTTTTCTTTGCTATAAGTAACACGATTGAGAGAAATCAGCCAACCATGAACACACGTTCAGACTGGGTGGTATCAATATTAATGTCTTGACTTCTGGCGCTGTCCTGGAGTCACAGAATGTCCCTGTTTTTAAGGAACACACAGACATCTCTGGGTGTGGAAGGGCACGATGTCTCAGGTGGCCCAGGGAAAAGAAGCGCATACACACAGGGAGAGGAGGATGGAGCAGACCTGGCCAGGCACCCCCACGTGGGAAACATGGCTGCAGACGACACGGGAGCTCATACGCGGGTCCCACCGCCCCTGGCTGGTGTGAAGTCACATCAAAACACAGCGTTAAACGGAAACGTGAACGAGCCTCAGAACCACCAGGCTGGGTGAGAGCAGGCCATGCCCTGCAGGACTCCGGTCAGCAAGCCGACCAGCGGGGGCCGGGGCCAGGGTGGTGGTGGGGGAGATGGGAGCAGCTCGGAGTGGGCAGGGGCTCCTTCTGGGGAGATGGAAACGTTTCGAACCCGACAGATGTGGGGTCTGCACAACGCCGCATGTCCTAGTAGCCCCTGAGTTGCTCGGGTTAAAACAGTGAACCGAATGTTAGGAGTCTCACTCCGGTTTTTATTAAAAACCCCAGCTGTGTTTTGTGCAGTGCAGAGCGAGACGGCCTTGGAGCCAGGCCCCAGGTGGGCTCTGAAAGGACCCTGTAACGGAATGTGGGGGAAGAGAGGGCGGTGAGGGCCCGGGGAGGCCTGGTGACGGGCAGTCACCCTCGCACACACAGCCCCACCTTTGCTGGGCAGACCAACCAGGTCACAACGTCCGAGGCTTTGGAAGGACCACGGCCCCGGGACACGTGAAGCTCTAACTCACAAAAGCCACTTCCTTTCCCCACCATCCAGAAGTGTCCTGTTTCCCTAAAGTCACTGGATCCCCAAAGCCAGGGAAGTGGGAGAAATTCTCACCGAGCCCTCACGCCCACGGGTTAGCTGCCCAGGACTAGGGCCAGCAGGGGACACTTCTCACGTGTGGGTCGGTCACCTCCCAGCTCTGTGGCCGGCAGGACGAAAAGGGGGCCTTCTGACCTCCAGTATCAGGAAGAATGGGAGGCACCGGGGACGGGGGGGCGCTCCCCTGGGAACACGTCCATCGGTCCCCAGATGGGCCAGTGCCAAGGTCTGGGGACTACTGACGCTATCCTGAGAACCACAGTCGATTCCAGCAAACTGTTTCGCTGCCTTCAGAGCTATGGGACCTCTGACCGCGCACACGGCAGTCCCTGCTGCGGGTGGTCACCGGGCCCACGTGACACCGGCCCCACTGGGTCTCCTGTCGCATCCCTGAGCCCTTACAGCATGACCTCAGCGGGATCGATGCTGCTTCCACAGTACGAACACGTACACTCTGCACACCTGAGCTGAATTCTGTCCTGTGCAACCCCGGCCCCCCCGCCCCGCGTAACAGCTGTCACCGTGTGCTGCTTCCTGGTCTACGAGCTCAGCACGATTTCGCTGCAGCCTCTGCCCAGCGCACCCCAAGGGGCCTGCACAGCCGAGACGCCCTGTTCCCTCTTCACACGGCGCCCTCGGGAGCTCCCCACCTGCCCGCTCAGCACGGTGGGGAGGAGCACTCAGGGCTCCCCAGCCTCCTGGACCTTCACCTCAGAAGTGCAAACCTTCCAGGCACGACGTTCAATCCCTCCTTAGAGCTGCCTTTCTAATGACCAGTGGAAAAATCCAATTCCTCTGACAAAATCTGTCTTACCCCACATCTGGCATTCATTCTGCCACGTGACTCCCGCAACCCGGCTCAGCCAGCGTCTCAGGCTTTCCAAGGAGCAGGGGTCCCCGCAGACCCCGCTGTGACCCTCAGCACCCAGGGCCCTTTTCAGTCAGAGCAGGTCAGTGAAGCGCATGCAGAAGGTGAGCGTCCCAACCCCGTGGTTGCATGCTCACGCCCCCACAGCCTTACCTGGTCCCCCACTTTGTGGGCAGTGACGGTGGCCCCTTCTTCCAGTTCAGTGTCACTGAGCGAGCGGATCCGAAGCGCTACCTGTGGGCAGCACACCAGGGCAGCTGCCTTCCAGGGGCCCCCCCGAGGCTGCTCCCCATTCTCCCAGTGCACCAGGGCCCCCGCTTCATGACAGGGGTCTCCGGTAACCAGGGAACCAGCCGGCAGGTGTGGGGCAAGGCCCGGGCCTCAGCTCATCCACCCACCACCAAGTGGGCTGAAGTTTCAAGCCCCCCAGCACACGGGTCCGGGCAGCCCTCGCAGGGCCTGGAGCTTGTTGGGGAGATCACAGGGCTGGGGGGGCAGGGGAGAGGCAGGAACAGGGGAGTAGAGGTAGGGCCCTTGACGGGGACCAGTACCCCGAGACCTGACCTGTGCCAAGTGATGGGCACCGGGCAGTGGGTCAGGACGAGGCGGCCTCAGGGACACGCAGCCATAGGGCCATTCGGGAACACGGGGGAGGATGCTCACCATGAGCTGCTGGTCCTTGGGTTCCACCTCTCTCGTGGCCGGGCTGCCCGGGGCCGGGGAAGGGCCAGCAGCGGGGCCGGCAGTGGGAACGGCGGGCACGACGTGCTCCCTGCTCTCCTGGCAGGCAAGGCGACCGGCCCGTGCCGCCTCCCCCACCTGCCCTGCCTTGGTGACATCAGCAGGCCCCAGGAGCCCAGCCAGTCCATAACTGCACACGTGGGACCGCACACGTGGGACCCCACACGTGGCTCGGGAGGCCCCAAGCAGCTGGGTGGCCCAGGCCCCGGTGGCCATAAGCCAGCTGCACACTGGGCACGCGGGGTCGGGCTCCAGACCACGGCCCAGCCTTTACGTCTGTGCTCTCACCCGTTGTCAGGGCAACCCCCGGGCTCCAGGTGAGCCTGAGGGCCATGAGGCTTGGCCTTGGAGCCTTTCCACCAAAGGGGGCCAATACCACCAACAAACACCTAACAAAATTCATCTCGGCTATAAATGTTTTTCCCCATGGACCCATTTCTAGAACAACTTGAAGTGACCGTCCAGTTTCTGCTCAGGACGTGGTTTTTAGCTGCCTCTCCCAGGCCGGCTGCCCGTCTGCACCACACCCCGGGCCCGACTGGTCTTCACCACCAGGCGTCTGTGTGGGCGGGCCATGCTGCACCCCGCTTTCCCTTGCAGCTTCCAGGGAAGCCGCTGCCAGGCCGTGAAGCAGGGCACGCTCATGATGAGAACAACTGGCGTGCACAAGCTGATCCTACATTTGATAAAGTCCCACAGAGGCCAGATCCCGTAAGTTCACGTCTGAGAAACCCGACTGGGAGATTGCAGCTGCGTGTGGCGGCAGGCCGAGCTCAAGTGACCCCTCCAGGTCAGCACGGCTGTCCCCGCCTGCCCGTTCTCTTCCAGGCGTCAGGTCAGTGCTAAGCGCAAGGACACCACGAGGCAACGGGCAGCAGAGGAGAGCGCCACCCATGACGCCCACGGCCCCCTTCCACGAAGCCTCCAGCCTGCGACCCACAGCAAGCTGCCAGAGAGCCCACACGAAGGCAAGTCTTCTCTGGAGACAGGACCAGGATGGCAGGTCCACACGGGGGGCGGGGGCTGCGTCCACCCTGAGGCCCCAGCAGAAGCCAGAGCGCGGGGGCCGCCCCAGCCCTGGCCGGGTGGGTCAGGCCATTCTGCCTGGGCCTGGCCTGGGAAACCCATTTCTCGAGCAGAACAGAACAAAACAAGCACACATCTTTCAAGAAATTCTTTTATTAACAAATTATGTAAAACAATTACAACTAGCAAGTTTAAATCAAAATTTTTTGAAAGCTCTGTTAAAAATCTGTGAAAGTGACCAAAACCTGGACCTCTTCCTTCCCACCGCCATCAAACGTAAAACCCAGGGCTTGGCACGCTAAGGTTTAAAGGACGTGAGCGCGAGCGAGACCCCGGGCCCCGTGTGTCGACGGGGAGCTAAGCACGGCGACTGGAACCGGGGATGGAGTGTCAAGCCTGCCTCGCAGCCGGGCTTGGGGCTGCAGCAGGCCGCCCGACCGCCCCTCCGGCACGGCCCCCGCGGGTCGTGGACAGCCCAGGCCCCACAGACGACCGCTTAGCCTCCAACCCCAGAACATTTCAGGCCCATGCGTCTGCGGCGTGCCCGTCCCGTGCTCCGCTGCTTCGCACGCCACGCGTCGGACTCCCGGATGACAGACAGAAGCGCGGCCGCGGACAAGGCACCGATGCATCGACGCGTAGCAGACGCAAGTAACCGGCTGAGGTCACACGGACTCGTTCGCCCACGTTTCAGGAGCAAAGGTATTCGGAGGCCCACACAACAGTGGCTCAAGTGGCAACTCTCGTGGACGAGGTCAAGTGTGCAGGGCTCCGAGCAAAGCGCAGAGGGGCTTCTCCCAGCAGGCGAAATGAGCACAGGACGCAGAAAAGCTGGACGGGGCTGCTACTTCACTTTACAGAGCTCGGCTGGAACGCACAACCGCTCGACGAGGTTGGAGGCCTGCCTCCTGGCCGCATGGGCCTTGGGGGCCAGCAGCGGCGGGCGGGCCGAGCCCAGAGCGCCGCCACGGCCGGGACACGGGCACCAGCCTCGAGGCTGCTACGTACGTGTAAAGACAGGAGAAAGACAGTGTTTTCGTACAGGTTTGCTTTTATTTCCACGCTCAGCCCATTGAGAGAAGCCGGCACAACCCGAACGGCGCCAGGACACCACGGGGCGCTGCTTCCCTGCGGTGCCCGGGACATGGCCAGGCCGGGCCGCACGCACAGGGCAGGACAAGTCCTCGAGGGGGACCGCTCGGCTGTGCGCTCAGGGCGGGAGGGGCCGCCGCAGCGGCGCACGACTGTGAGGAACCAACACCAGTGGCGTGATTTTAAAAACCCCGAACGAGAAAAAACTGTAAGCGGTGCCTTGGATCCTCCCCTGAGGTGGAGACCAGGGGTGAAAGGCACAGTAACGTGTGGAGATGGGGGAGTCCGGGTGCAGAGTCTGGAGCCAGAGAAAGCACAGGGGAGAGTTCAGGCCTCGTACAGGCTTCCTGCAGCAGGACGACCGGGTCCAGCACGCGACGCAGGGACGCTGCAACGAGGGAGCAGGCGTTCACTCTCTGCGCCGCGCCTTGACAACAAGGGGCGCGTCAGCCACAGCAAGCCCTGACAGCGTGCCCAGACAAGGGGCCACCGGCCACACCATCTCAGAAGGGGACCCTCAGGGTCCGCTTCAACGTGATGCCCGAGAGGAGCAGGAACAGATGCCCCGGGGGAGCAGCCTCCAGTGCGGAGAGCTTCGCCGAGCAGCTGCCGAGCCGTCCTGCCGGCCGCCCCAGGCACGAGACTCTGGGGCCTGGCACGCGCCCCCCCCCCCCCGAAAGTGCCCTACCTCGCCTGACTGACCGGGTTCTGACGGCTCCTGGCTCTGCCGGGCACACTGAGGCTTTCTCCCAGCCAGACACCCGGAGACAGTCCGCAGCCAGCCTCCTTCCTCCTCCCCAGCCCTGTGTCTTATCCGCAACCAGACCCGGCTCCCGAGACGCCCTGCCCTAAGTCTGGGGCTCGAGGCCCTGCCATTCCCAGAGGAAGAGCCCCAGCTCTGACAGCCAGGATGTGCATCGGGGCCTCTGCAGCTCCCGCACAAGGGTCCCACTGAGCCCAAGCACGGGAACCTGGGGACTTTCTCACTCGAGGAACAACACAACATGTCAGGGTTCTGCTCGTCCCCATCTGAAGAGGTCTTACCACGGTGCTCAGGTCACTCCTGATTTCCCAAGGGAATGATCTCCTCAGTGACGAAGAACTCGATGGTCTCCTCCTCCCAATCCTCCACGTTGCTGTCCAGCTCGTCCGTGTCCACGCCTGTGAGCGGGGGAGAAGGGTGACGTGACACACCCACACACGCGCAGCCGCCTCGGCCGGGAGCCCGGCACGAACACAGCAAGGTTCCCTGCACACGACCGTGGGAAACTCCCGGTTCCTCGACAATCTAAGAATCTTTACGACACCGGACGCTTGACTAGAAAACTCACACGATCGGGTAGTGAAATGTCTCCGCAGACGCATGCTCTGAAACACGCGTCTTCAGCTAATAGTTACCTCCTCGCAACTCCAGACGTTCACTCTTCTGCTCCATGTAGAGTTCTTGGGCCATTTTCCGGTATTTTCGGAAATCTTCCATCATGGTGCGTCTTCTTTCCACCAGTTCCTGTGCGTGGAGTCAGGGGGAGTCATGGGGCTGACGGGACCGTGGCCGCAGTGGGTGCCGCGAGGACCCCTCTATTCAGAGACGGTCTCGGGACTGGAATGGAGAGACGTGCTCTCCTCCTTCCCTTCACTCGGACCGACCCCCCTGCATCTGGATGGCCGGCCACCCGGAGACACGTGCCAGGGCCCAGCAGTCTGTGCACACGGCGGAGGCACAGCAAGCGTCTGCAGCAGATGCCGCCGGCCCCCCCCTCAGTCCCAGGAGCAGGCTAACCTTTGAGGCTTTGGATTGACTCAGACGATCCTTCTGTTCAAAGATCTTAGAATATTTCTTCAGATCCTTTTTGATTTGCTGAAAACAAAAACAAGCCACTCAGGATTTAAACGTTCAAAGCATCTTCAAAGCTATCAATGCGCAGCGGCCTCCTCAGGGTCGCGAGCACATGGCTACACACACATGCACCGGGCACCGGCCTGCAGGTTTCACGGGGGCCACGTCCCGCTACCGGGCACAGCCCACGGACACCCTCTCCCAGCGCCGCCGGCCCGGTTCACATCCCCTCCGCTCCGTGCACGTGTCCGAGAAGGGCACAGACACAGCCGGGCATGACCTGCAAACCCACATTTACGATCCTGAGACTATTCCTTCCCGTGGGGTCCCTGGTGCTCTCGCATCTCATCAAAGGGCACCCCAAACGTCCTGTTTCCGTTCCTCAGGCGAGAGCCCCCAAATGGTGACAGAAAAGGGAAATCTCTCCTGTCAGGGCCCCCAGGGCATCCGCGCTGCCTGGGCCCCGGGAGCCCCAGACCTTTATCTGATCCTGGCTCAGGAGCGTGGGGGGCCGAGGTCTCCACAGCAGCTGGCAAAAGCGGTCCTTGTTGTTCTTCTGCAGGAGGCGTCCTTGGAACGTCCACAGCCAGTAGGCGTTGTCCACCTGCGAGAAACAGAGGCCCGAGCGCTGCTCACTGCCGCAAGTCCCGGCAGGATGCGGGCGCCCGGGACCTGTACCGGCCCAGAGCCCAGCAGACCGAGCGTGTCACCCCGCGCTCCGAGAGCCCACACATGGCAGCGGTTGGCACCTGGGAGACCGCGGGGGAGCGCGGCTGCATGCGGCGGGGGGAACGCGGTCCCTGAGGCCGACAGGAGGTGACGCCCCGCGCAGGGCGCAGCTGTGCCCCAGCCGGGACGGGCCCCCACGCATGGGCACCCTGCCGGCCTGCAACAGGGCGCCCGCCAGGACACAGCGGCCTGCGCCCAGAGATGCACTGCCGTGCTCGGCTGGCGCCTTTCCCGACGATGGAGGCGGCACCCGCACCCTCGCTGCGGCCGGCGCTTCGGCAGCCTGTGGCGCTTCACAGTGGCCCAGGGTCTGAAGGACTCCAGCGCCACCTGGCGCTCGAACCCGCTCAAACTCGAATCCAGACTGTTCTCAGGCCACCGCGCCCGGGGACGGAGTCTGAGCTCCTGCAGCTCGTGCTTCGTCACACAGAACCGCCCTGACTCGATGCCTTACGCTCTGCACACGCACACGAGCTCGCTCGAGTCTCAGCACCTCCGCCCGCGAGAAAGCCTGACCACACGGGGCAGAAAGACTCGGCTGAGCTCACCAGCAGCCCGGGAGCACCGCGCGAGGGACCTCGCTGCAGACACGCCAGCACGCACACGCCACACGGAACCGGCTTTGGCCACAGCCTCTCCCGCTCACGGAGCGTGGCGCTGCTTCAGTTCTTCAGCTCACGGACGTCTGAGACTGAACACACGTGCGCACACACACACGCCCACGTCCTTTCAGGATGGCCCAGACCCTCGGGTGAGCAGCCCTCTCTCTGGTGGCTCCGCGGGCCACTCACTCACCAGCCACCCCGACTGAACGAGGACCATGCGCCAGGCAGCGCCAGAGAAGGCCCCGCCCACACGACACTGAGCTGTCGTGGCAAAAGGAGGAAACGGTGCTAGCAGCCCGCGGGGACGTCGTGCCCCTCGAGCACCGGGAAAACACAGAGCAGAGCGGGTGAGCGGCACCGCACACGCAGAAACACGTTCCGGGCAGGGGAGGCGCCCACGGGCCACGCACGGCTGTCACACACGCAGGGGCCTCCACCAGAAAAGGGCGGTCCAAACCACGAACTTCCTGAGGGTGCCCTAACCCTACTGGGAAAGCGCGTGCACAGCGCGGCGCGTCCTCCCCCCGCCCCGAGCCACAGAGACCAGTGTGGGTGAATTCTCAACTGCGGGGGGGGACGCTACACCGTCAGAAGCTCCCCGGCTCCTGCGCCAGACGGAGGGGGCCTGAACTTGGGCTGAAGCCAGCCTAAGACGCGGTCCGACTCAGGAAAGGGAAATCAAGGAACGCCAACCGACTCGTGGAAAAGCTGGCTGGCTCAGGGGCGCTGCCGAGGAGCTCCATGGGGCGGCCGGGCAGGGCAGCATAGGAGTGACTAACGGTGCCCACTGCACGGAGACCCGGGAGGGCAGGAGGGGACGCCAGGCCCGGCACAGCCGGGTCCCACACTGCACCCAGCCACACAGGGGCCCCGTACCTTATGGCTCCACCAGGACACAGACGTGACAACGTAGCGCCCCGTGGGGTCCCACTCCACGTCGGAGGCCATGTAGTGCTCTGCAATGTTCATGACCGTACAGTCCGACGTGTCAACAAAAGCCAAGGCGCCGTTCATACTGGGGAGACAGAGCAGGGTCAGTGCGCACACCCTCCTGGTGTCCCACTCCTTGGAGGCTCCAGAGCAGACTCGGGAGCCTTGCCGTTGAGGAGGAAGTGATCCAGAGCCCTCTACCTCCTGAGGGCGCTGGGAGTGGAGCCGGGGGGAGTGTGTGCACCGGATTATCGGAGGCCAACCCTCTGGAAACGCAGTAAGCACCTCCAACGAAGTCAGGAAAGCGAGCGACTCTAAGTGCGTTCTGCTAACCCACGGGCAGGCGCGGGCTCCTCAGGCTCCCATGCACGGCTAGGACAGTGGGTGAGCAGGGACCACGGGAGGGTGAACACTGCCACTCGTGGTCTCACTGCAGAGACCGGCTCGCAGCCGTCTGCTCACAGCCTTCCCACAAGAGGACACGGGTTTCACACCAGGCTTGCTGCCCTGCCAGGAAGCGGTCTTGCTCAACCACGAGGAAATCCCAACACTCACACCTCCTCCAGACTGAAAACACTCGCGGGGGACTTTCATCGACCTGGTTTCAGCCCAAGTCTGGGCAAGACGGAAACACGATAAATTCCCATCCACCAAAAAAGCAGGAACAGTCCTTTCACGCAAGCACGCTCCATCACGGTGTCAAGGAACCGCTGTGACCCGCAGGGTCCCACGTCAGGGCCCCCACAGCAGCCCGCAGAGCGTGGCTCACCACGAGCAGATGGCATCAGGCAGCAGAAACCCACCTCCTCAAGCCAGCCAACACGACGAACTGTCCCTGGGGGCTCCAGAAGATGGTATTTGCCTGCTGCTTATCAAACATTTCTGGAAACAAAGGGAACGTCTGTTAAGTCTTTGTCAAGGCGCTGAAGGCAGGGTGCGGCCAGGACGGGCGACAGGCTCACGCTGCCCTGCGGGTGAACTTTCTCACACACACCCCACACCAGCCTGCTGCCCGTGAGGACAATTTTGGAAAACCCCTGGGCTGAGTACGCTTTAAGTCATGATCTACGCTTCAAGAAAAAAGAGAGAACACGTTCTGAAGCTACGTTACCGTTTGTAATAACGTCTCACGTTCAAAACAATTTAACTTCCCGGGAAACTGGACAGAGAAATCACCGTAAACACACCCACCAAGTGCAGAGACACGTGACCCAAAAAAGCCCAAGATGCATTCTTCCAGTGACTCAAACACCTTTTTCAAGCTCTGCAGTCATAAAAACGTGTCTCCCACCATGGGGAAAAAAGCCACCGTGTCTCCCAACACAAGGACTGCCTCCACCTGACGAGGTCCCCACAGGGCCCCCAGAGAGCGGACAGTTACCGCTCAGGCGGCAAGCTTGGGTCTCCAGTCAAGGGCACAAAGTGAACCCCAGCCTGACCTGGGCCTGCAGTGGATCCACAGATGGGGGCCAGGGGGGATAGGGAGATGGGGAAAGGCGGCGTGGCCTGCTGGGCAAGATTCTCAGACCAAGATGAAGGTGCTGGGAATGGAGTCGCACGTGTTAGCAGGACCCATGTGGTCATCCTTCCAAGCGGGCGACCCAGAGCCTTCAGAAGTGGAATGCACTCCTACACTGGCTATTTACAAACCTGCTTTCTAACCAGAGATGGTGCAAACCATTTCCTCTGTCACAGGGAATTCACAGCACAGTTGGGTTTCATGATGGCCAGCCAGCCGGTCTCCCGCAAACACTGCTGAGCTCCTGGCATTCCCTCACGACAAGCTCAGCACCCAAGCCTCTGGGTACGGGGACACATGGCCGATGTCCATCACCGCAGTCCCCACGCTGCACAACGAGGACCTACTGCACGTTTAGCTCTGTGCTAAGAACCCAGGACGCCCTGGAGGAGCCCACTGTGGGTGGGGGATCAGGTCACCAAGGGAGGCCAGGGAACGAGGAGGGCCCCTTGCAGGCTCAGCAGAACACGGCGGGGATGGGGGGGCCCTAGCCCAGAGACGATAGCTGTGGCCACAAGAGGGAGAGCGCGTCCACTCAGAACCCCTCTCTTGAAGGGCCCACAGCCTACGCAGCCACCACGAGCGAAGCTGGAGCCATGGGGGCCCTCACAGCTGCCGGATGGCCTGAGCAACGGCTCCTAGCCAGGGGAACATGCGTGTGGAGCGACCCTCCAGAGGGCCCGTCTGTCTGTTCTCCCTCCCGTGTGCCCATCAATGGCTTATAAGGCTACTTACTGATAAGCTCAATCTTCCCATTGTTCTTCACATGGTAGAAGGAAACAGATATCCGAGGAGCCTCCCCATGCAGCACAGCAAACTTACTCCCGTTTGGCTCCCAGGCAAAGGCTATGATGGTTTCTGCAATCAAGAAAAAGAATAAACCACCCTTTGATGGTTTAATGAAATCATGTTCCTCATCAAACAACCTTCCTGCACAGCCTTCACTACTCAACCAGAGAAAATGCCCCAAATTCTGAAGTTCATTGAAAAGACCACACAGCGGGCCTAGGAACGAGGGTGTGGGGACTTGGGTGAGACCATCCTGGCCCGGCGGGAACGCTGCAGAAGTGCGTCCGCTTGCTGGCGCCCACCGCCATCCCCAGTATAGGATTCCACGGCCCCTAGGGGCTAACAATGCAGGGCGGCCAGGCTGGACCCTCTCTTGCTCTGTCCTCCACCTCCCCTTTGTCCTCCTCTCCCTTGCAAACCAGAACACAAACTACAACGCAAAACCCAACCAACAACGCAGGCCCCACTTCCCACCTAGAAGCAGCAGCAGAGCGCGTGCACGGTTTTAGGCCCAGAATAAAGCTCTCGTCACCCGAGAACTCATTTGTCACATGAAAATCCCTTCTGCTGCCGGTCGCTGCAAGCGTCAGGAAACCCATTCCCCACGTGTCTCTCAGCAGGAAACCACGGGACCCTCGCTCCTACGCCGGGCAGGCCGGGCCGGGGTGTGAGGAAGGAGCGGGCGAGCCGCCCAGCAGCCTGAACTGAGGCGCGCGTGTTCGGGCCCGGGAGGCAGACAGTGTGCGTGGTCAGGGCCGTGGCCACCTGCGCTGGCGGGGACGCAGAGCTCCAGGCCGCGCACAGGGACCGCCAACCACAAAGGACTACAAGGAACTTGCCTTTCATTTCCACCACGTCGACAGGTACCTGTTTTTCCCTCATTCGGAAAATTTCAAAATTTGTGACCACGCCCTATTTGGGAGAGAAAAGAAGGGAGTGAAATGGTGGAAGCTGAAAGCATGAGAAAATCGTACCTCAAGAACAACATAACAAGATGGAAGAGGATGTGCACGCAGCTGGTAAAGACGTGCAAGTATCTAAGTGACGGAACTCAGCCCGGCAGGGTCAAGTCAGCATCCTGCGCCGCCAGAGGCGTCCCCGGGTACAGTCTCTGCAGGACAGCGGGGCCCCTCCGGCCCTCCCGCCACACTCCTGCACGGAGGCTCAGGGCCACAAGCCGCAGCTGGTCCGCCAAACTCTGTAGCACTCTCGAGGCCCAGGCACGGGGAGGGGAGCACCCTGCAGGGATCTTCCAGACACGGGTGTTAAACGGAAACCAGGAGGCCGCATGGTCCCGGACAGCCCGAGGGTGGAAATGACACACGGATCCACCCACAGGCGGGAGCACGCGAGCTGGCGCAGCTCAGCCCTGACCCGGGACAAGGTGCAGACACCTGCCACAGCTCGGGTGAGCCCTGAAAATGCACTCAGTGAGGGAAGCCAGCCACCACAGGACACGCACTGTATCCCTTCATTCCCACCAAGTGTCCCGGACAGACGAAGCCACACAGAGAGAAGGTGGAGTAGTCGGGAGCCCAGGGGAGTGGGGCGCTGGGGTGCGGGCTTTCTGTTTTTGGGTGATGAAAACACTCTCGAGTTAAGATCGTGGCGAGGACCGCACAAGTCTGTGAATGTCCCGAAAAGCCACCGGACCGTGCACTCTGCGAGGGCGCAGGCTACAGCATGAGGAGTCCGTGTCAACGGTGTCTTTTATTCAAGGAGAAGGAATACTTCCACGAAAAGAAACAGATCAGACAAATTCATAAGGTATGAAATGCAAACAAACAAAAACAATCTGGGTGCTGGCTCCTCTTTGTGCTTAAACAGGGAGTTAAGAGAAAAATGCTTTTGTTTTCACCCTCTATAGGAAGACAGGCGGGTGCCTGAACCCGTCCTCGCGACCTTGTGAACGGGTCACCCTGCTCCTCAGCCAGAAGGTTACAAGGGCTCCAGCCAGGACAGCCAGCTAACCGCTTTCAGTAACCCGTGGGTCTGAACATGACCCCCAAATTCAAACAAGTAATCCGTCAACACCCGTCAAGCAGGAGGCGGGCGTGGAGCTGGAAGGAGGGGTACCCACTCACCTGGGTCCCTTTGGGGGTCCTATCCACTTTAACACACAAGTAATCCCCATTTTTCTGCCAGTGCAGCTTGCAGTCCACCACGTTGAACAGATTCCTAACCCTGATCTCTTGTCTGGTGGGAAGCTGCATCAGGGTCACCCTGGCCGGGATATCTTTGTCCTCAGGCACCCAAAAGGCTATGATGTTACCCCCGGGAGACCACGAGAAGTCCCTGCAGAATGAAGAGAACACAGTGTCAGCCAACCACTGGCTAGGACGCTGTGGGGAAGGGGGCGCAGCGGAGATCAGGCTCGCCGGCTGGAAACCAGCCCAGGCCTCCCTGACAGCTGGCGGCTGCCCGTCTGGCCCCCGCCACCTGGGGCGTCAGCGTGCTCGCTCTGCCAGTGAGGGGCGGCGGGGCTCCACACGGCCGCACCCTGGGCTGCTGGACCTGGAGGACGCCGGATGCGCTCTCTGGCGCTAAGGGAACAGCACAGCTCGGAGGATCCCGCGGCGGGAGGACAACGGCCTCCACCCTGCAGTGACCTCGAGGCCTGGTGCCCTCATGAACCACAAAGACTACCTTTCCTGTGACGGTGACGGAAACCCAATTCCTGGTGTAGCTCGTATCGTGAGCACCCCCCGTGCCCGAGAACTCACCACAAAAGGAGTCAGAACCATTCGCATCCCTGCACGGCTGGCACCTCTCTGCAGAGACAGGCCACCCTCAAGACGGCACATAAGCCAAGCGTGCCTGCCCTGGGCCATTCCCCCCAAAGCCCCCCAAGCCCCCCACTCGGTCAGTGGAGTTCACAGAAGCCTCTCGACTAAGTGCCCTCCTTCACCCTCCGCCCCCGTCTTCCCCAAAGAAAGCAGCCCGACTGTCAGTTCCAAGGCAGGAACAGAACACAAACAGAACCTGTGGCCTCACGAAGGGTCTACGTGCAGAAGGGAACGTGGGCCGGGAGGCCAGCAGAGTCACAACAAGAGGCCGGTGGTGGCGGGCCGGGGCCTGCTGGGCCGCGCTTGTGGCCAGAGCAAGGACCCAGTGTCCTCTCCCACCGAGCAAGAGCCAAGCGCTAGAGGAGGGGCCCAGCTCCTACCGCCCGCCGGGAAGAACGCTCACTTACTTTATGCCGGAGATCTTCAAGCTCTTCTTGTCCAAAAGGCCCATAGACTGCAGAATAAAAAGGCGACAATGGAGTTAAATCACACCACTGTCTCCATAATACACCCACATTTTCACGAAAAGGAAACCACCATTTCTGGAATGAGCCCAGCAAGTAAGCCTAGCAGGGGACACACAGCAAGGAAACAGGTCACCCGCAGCGGCAAAGCATCCATCTCCAAGGTCCCTTCTCTTTGCTCCCGTCCTGGACTGCCGGCAGCAGCAAAAGCAAATCGGGCCAGAACCCAGGGGCAGTGATGGGAAAGGGGCAGCCGCGGAGAGGCGCATGGAGCTTCCCCCGTTCTGCACACACAACACTGCTCTTCCCCTCCCCTCACCCACGGGGACACCCCCAGCAGCTCCCGCCGCATAAGGCCACCACTCAGGAAACCATGTCACTTACAGGAGTTTCATAGATGCTAAGAGTGTCGAGTGTCATTCTGGCAAAGAATTTACCATCGTGGCTCCACCTGAGAAAGAAAAAAAGTGCCAGGCTCTGTCGTGAGAAGAAAAGGCCCCGACAAACCCTCCGCGGGCTACCGCGGTTGACTCACTTAAAGATAGGCCAATGGGCTGAGCTTTCGCAGTGAAAACCCCTCTTCTTCTGTCCAGTCAGGATGTCCCAGATGATGATGGCTTGAGGGTCATCCTGGGTGTCCATGAGGGGGCTGAAGGTCACCAGGTATCTGTCACAGAGGGGACACTGCTGATAATCCGCCCACCACCCCACCTTCTCTTCCCCGAGCACCACGCTGAGTGTGGAGGAGGTGAGCACCCGAACCCACCGAGCCTCCGCTCCAGACGGCGCCAGGCCCGGGGGGCAGGGGGGCTGCCAGAGTAAGCAGTCGGGACTCCTGCAGCCAGCACGGCCTCCAAACCCTGGCTCCCAAGCACGCTCTCCCACCAGAGCAGGCCACCTCCGAGGCACCAGGGCACTTCGAGGGACCCCCCGCTTAAAGGTTTTCTCCACAAAATCAGGACACTGAAAGACCCAACAGATTCCAAACCGAAGTGTGCACGTGTGCGCTCTAGGCTGAGTGGGGTGCAATTCTCCTACTTGATTTACATCGACATTTAGTTACGACAAGAAGGCAAACAGAACACCCACGTGCGGTTCAAAAGCCAGCACACGTCTATCTAGCCCAGCCTCTGTGCCTGGGGCTTCTCCCTCTGCCGACGCGGGCTTGTCCACACCCAGGGCCCCCGCTCACCTTCCTGATGCACGGCACAGCCATCTAAGCCAGGTGCCCTCTCAGACCACGAGGCAGAAGAGGCAGAAACAGAGCCCAGGCCCTGTCCAGGGGCCCCCAGGGCCTCCCGGACCCTTTATCATCCTGGTGTGCTAATTAACAATGAGGGCTGGTGTCACCTCCCCCAAGTCACGAAGTTCCCTCTACAGACTGTCCTGTACACCTGCGTAAACAATGTCACGCCATGCTGAATGACAGAAACGGCCTGATTTGGTGCTTATCTGGAAAACAGGCTTTTTTTTTTCTTTAATAAGTTCAGGTCTACATTACTTTTTTTTTTTAATTTTTTATTTTTTTATTTGAGAGAGAGACAGAATGAGAGAGAGCACAAGAGGGAAGAGGGTCAGAGAGAGAAGCAGACTCCCTTCTGAGCAGGGAGCCCGACGCGGGGCTCGATCCCGGGACTCCAGAATCATGACCTGAGCCGAAGGCAGACGCTTAACGACTGA